TATATATATATATAGAGAGAGAGAGAGAGATATATATATATATATATATATATATATATATATATATATATATATATATATATATATATATATATATATATATATATATATATATATATAGCTCATCACCAATACGAGCATGATTTTGTAAAGGCAATTAAAGTAATTATAACTTAAGTCGCTATACCAGTATAACATTGACTTCAAAACTCAAAATCGACATGAAAATGTCAGTATTAAAAATCGCCAACCATTAATATGTTACAGTTCTTTTCTATATACAGGCTTACACTGTATACAGTAAAAAAGCTCGGGAAGTATTAAGAGTGCAAATTTAGGTTACCACCAGTGACCTATTGTCTACGGTTTAATTATAGCAGCTTTACGAATCAGGATCCAGTCAATACTAATTTCCTTCCATGGAACTTCAAAATAGTTTCCTAGTCTGAAACGATATTTGAACTAAATGTATAGAAGTACTTACATAAAACCTACAATAAATTATTGCTATTAAAATTATGTACTGATTTGACGAAAAATCTTAATTGGCATATATACAGTATATGCATCATAAATCAATCTCAAGTCCAAATTTTCCTAGATTGTTGGGGACACCGGAACGATAAGAGGGCAAGGGCAGAAAATATATACTGCGAAATCTGTAGATGACGTAACTCCTGAACAATACAAAAGGAACTTCGATATTCCGAGCGAACGCTTTTCGTGTGGAAGTTATTAAGGCCTTCGTTCGAAACGTCCAAGTTATTTTTGTATTTGCAGACGTGTAGTGGAGGGGGCTAAAATTCTAGATCGTTCCGGGGGATATGAGGCCCCCTACATTGATGCAGATTGCATTGTCATAACTTGGAAAGTTCTTTGGAACTGTAGTTGAAATTTGGTAATTCTCAATGATAATAATTTTCATATTGACTACTTTATCACTTTGATCCTACCATTAGATAGTTTAGTTTATCTAAAAACTTTGATATAGCTTTGCTATGTTGGAATCTTTAATCATAGAATTTAAGCACAGGAATTTTTCATGTTTATCATATTGTCACCCCTTCCCCAAGAACAAGGTTGGTCGCCCCCACGTCTTGTCAACCCCCCTCTCTGAGAGCCCCACCCTCACTGGATAGTTGCATCATCTACAGATTTTGCAGTTTGTATCTTTCACTGCCTACAATGGCACCCGCCGGCAGATAATATAGTCTCTAGAACACAAGAACTAATTATTAGGTACCACTTTTACCAGCAAACGCTCGTTGAATAGGCCTTGATCATGACTAATCATTTTAACTTTTCGTAATAGTATTTTTTCTGTTAATATTTGTAAACTATTATCCGCTATCATAGGTCAATAGATGTAGGCAGCCGAGCAGGGCTTTTTAGGGCCATTAAACGTCCCCAAAATTTCAATCTTAAATTGAGTTTTGAAAGTCAATCACCTCATAAATCCAGTATTATCTGGATTTTATTTGGGCGTATCGTTCAATTGAAGTAAATGTTGAAAGGATTTTTGAGTGTGAATTTTATACATTTAATAATAGACCTAACCGGGAGCACTTGCAAAAAATGCAACTATTGGCCCTCTGGCAGGAATCGAACCTGCGGTTCTGCGGTTCCGGTGCAGCGCTCTAATCAACTGAGCTACAGAGTCCCGCTGCGTCGGATGTCGATGCTGACCTAGCTTGTCAAAGGTCCTTGGACGACAACCCAGTGAACTATATACATGGAAGGCTGACTTCAGTCATTGACGTAATCAAAAAGTGAAGCCAAGATGGCGGACTTTGAAGCCATTCTTGCGCGTCACCCTCAGTCCCCTTACCCGCGCGGCCAAACAATTTTTGTATTTTCATGGCGGGAAGTGATGGGTCCGCGACTCTC